AAATTCGCCCTCGTCGTCAAGGTGATCTTCAAGGTCGTTGTCAAGAGAATCACACCATCACGCTTTTCGTCGTCTTCTCCACTCGCATCATCATCAACACCATTCATACAGTCATCTCCATCAGCAAAATCACATTCTTCAGCAATAAATTCGCCCTCGTCGTCAAGGTGATCTTCAAGGTCGTTGTCAAGAGAATCACACCATCACGCTTTTCGTCGTCTTCTCCACTCGCATCATCATCAACACCATTCATACAGTCATCTCCATCAGCAAAATCACATTCTTCAGCAATAAATTCGCCCTCGTCGTCAAGGTGATCTTCAAGGTCGTTGTCAAGAGAATCACACCATCACGCTTTTCGTCGTCTTCTCCACTCGCATCATCATCAACACCATTCATACAGTCATCTCCATCAGCAAAATCACATTCTTCAGCAATAAATTCGCCCTCGTCGTCAAGGTGATCTTCAAGGTCGTTGTCAAGAGAATCACACCATCACGCTTTTCGTCGTCTTCTCCACTCGCATCATCATCAACACCATTCATACAGTCATCTCCATCAGCAAAATCACATTCTTCAGCAATAAATTCGCCCTCGTCGTCAAGGTGATCTTCAAGGTCGTTGTCAAGAGAATCACACCATCACGCTTTTCGTCGTCTTCTCCACTCGCATCATCATCAACACCATTCATACAGTCATCTCCATCAGCAAAATCACATTCTTCAGCAATAAATTCGCCCTCGTCGTCAAGGTGATCTTCAAGGTCGTTGTCAAGAGAATCACACCATCACGCTTTTCGTCGTCTTCTCCACTCGCATCATCATCAACACCATTCATACAGTCATCTCCATCAGCAAAATCACATTCTTCAGCAATAAATTCGCCCTCGTCGTCAAGGTGATCTTCAAGGTCGTTGTCAAGAGAATCACACCATCACGCTTTTCGTCGTCTTCTCCACTCGCATCATCATCAACACCATTCATACAGTCATCTCCATCAGCAAAATCACATTCTTCAGCAATAAATTCGCCCTCGTCGTCAAGGTGATCTTCAAGGTCGTTGTCAAGAGAATCACACCATCACGCTTTTCGTCGTCTTCTCCACTCGCATCATCATCAACACCATTCATACAGTCATCTCCATCAGCAAAATCACATTCTTCAGCAATAAATTCGCCCTCGTCGTCAAGGTGATCTTCAAGGTCGTTGTCAAGAGAATCACACCATCACGCTTTTCGTCGTCTTCTCCACTCGCATCATCATCAACACCATTCATACAGTCATCTCCATCAGCAAAATCACATTCTTCAGCAAAAAATTCGCCCTCGTCGTCAAGGTGATCTTCAAGGTCGTTGTCAAGAGAATCACACCATCACGCTTTTCGTCGTCTTCTCCACTCGCATCATCATCAACACCATTCATACAGTCATCTCCATCAGCAAAATCACATTCTTCAGCAATAAATTCGCCCTCGTCGTCAAGGTGATCTTCAAGGTCGTTGTCAAGAGAATCACACCATCACGCTTTTCGTCGTCTTCTCCACTCGCATCATCATCAACACCATTCATACAGTCATCTCCATCAGCAAAATCACATTCTTCAGCAATAAATTCGCCCTCGTCGTCAAGGTGATCTTCAAGGTCGTTGTCAAGAGAATCACACCATCACGCTTTTCGTCGTCTTCTCCACTCGCATCATCATCAACACCATTCATACAGTCATCTCCATCAGCAAAATCACATTCTTCAGCAATAAATTCGCCCTCGTCGTCAAGGTCATCTTCAAGGTCGTTGTCAAGAGAATCACACCATCACGCTTTTCGTCGTCTTCTCCACTCGCATCATCATCAACACCATTCATACAGTCATCTCCATCAGCAAAATCACATTCTTCAGCAATAAATTCGCCCTCGTCGTCAAGGTGATCTTCAAGGTCGTTGTCAAGAGAATCACACCATCACGCTTTTCGTCGTCTTCTCCACTCGCATCATCATCAACACCATTCATACAGTCATCTCCATCAGCAAAATCACATTCTTCAGCAATAAATTCGCCCTCGTCGTCAAGGTGATCTTCAAGGTCGTTGTCAAGAGAATCACACCATCACGCTTTTCGTCGTCTTCTCCACTCGCATCATCATCAACACCATTCATACAGTCATCTCCATCACCAAAATCACATTCTTCAGCAATAAATTCGCCCTCGTCGTCAAGGTGATCTTCAAGGTCGTTGTCAAGAGAATCACACCATCACGCTTTTCGTCGTCTTCTCCACTCGCATCATCATCAACACCATTCATACAGTCATCTCCATCAGCAAAATCACATTCTTCAGCAATAAATTCGCCCTCGTCGTCAAGGTGATCTTCAAGGTCGTTGTCAAGAGAATCACACCATCACGCTTTTCGTCGTCTTCTCCACTCGCATCATCATCAACACCATTCATACAGTCATCTCCATCAGCAAAATCACATTCTTCAGCAATAAATTCGCCCTCGTCGTCAAGGTGATCTTCAAGGTCGTTGTCAAGAGAATCACACCATCACGCTTTTCGTCGTCTTCTCCACTCGCATCATCATCAACACCATTCATACAGTCATCTCCATCATCAAAATCACATTCTTCAGCAATAAATTCGCCCTCGTCGTCAAGGTGATCTTCAAGGTCGTTGTCAAGAGAATCACACCATCACGCTTTTCGTCGTCTTCTCCACTCGCATCATCATCAACACCATTCATACAGTCATCTCCATCAGCAAAATCACATTCTTCAGCAATAAATTCGCCCTCGTCGTCAAGGTGATCTTCAAGGTCGTTGTCAAGAGAATCACACCATCACGCTTTTCGTCGTCTTCTCCACTCGCATCATCATCAACACCATTCATACAGTCATCTCCATCAGCAAAATCACATTCTTCAGCAATAAATTCGCCCTCGTCGTCAAGGTGATCTTCAAGGTCGTTGTCAAGAGAATCACACCATCACGCTTTTCGTCGTCTTCTCCACTCGCATCATCATCAACACCATTCATACAGTCATCTCCATCAGCAAAATCACATTCTTCAGCAATAAATTCGCCCTCGTCGTCAAGGTGATCTTCAAGGTCGTTGTCAAGAGAATCACACCATCACGCTTTTCGTCGTCTTCTCCACTCGCATCATCATCAACACCATTCATACAGTCATCTCCATCAGCAAAATCACATTCTTCAGCAATAAATTCGCCCTCGTCGTCAAGGTGATCTTCAAGGTCGTTGTCAAGAGAATCACACCATCACGCTTTTCGTCGTCTTCTCCACTCGCATCATCATCAACACCATTCATACAGTCATCTCCATCAGCAAAATCACATTCTTCAGCAATAAATTCGCCCTCGTCGTCAAGGTGATCTTCAAGGTCGTTGTCAAGAGAATCACACCATCACGCTTTTCGTCGTCTTCGCCACTCGCATCATCATCAACACCATCCATACAGTCATCTCCATCAGCAAAATCACATTCTTCAGCAATAAATTCGCCCTCGTCGTCAAGGTGATCTTCAAGGTCGTTGTCAAGAGAATCACACCATCACGCTTTTCGTCGTCTTCTCCACTCGCATCATCATCAACACCATTCATACAGTCATCTCCATCAGCAAAATCACATTCTTCAGCAATAAATTCGCCCTCGTCGTCAAGGTGATCTTCATGGTCGTTGTCAAGAGAATCACACCATCACGCTTTTCGTCGTCTTCTCCACTCGCATCATCATCAACACCATTCATACAGTCATCTCCATCAGCAAAATCACATTCTTCAGCAAAAAATTCGCCCTCGTCGTCAAGGTGATCTTCAAGGTCGTTGTCAAGAGAATCACACCATCACGCTTTTCGTCGTCTTCTCCACTCGCATCATCATCAACACCATTCATACAGTCATCTCCATCAGCAAAATCACATTCTTCAGCAATAAATTCGCCCTCGTCGTCAAGGTGATCTTCAAGGTCGTTGTCAAGAGAATCACACCATCACGCTTTTCGTCGTCTTCTCCACTCGCATCATCATCAACACCATTCATACAGTCATCTCCATCAGCAAAATCACATTCTTCAGCAATAAATTCGCCCTCGTCGTCAAGGTGATCTTCAAGGTCGTTGTCAAGAGAATCACACCATCACGCTTTTCGTCGTCTTCTCCACTCGCATCATCATCAACACCATTCATACAGTCATCTCCATCAGCAAAATCACATTCTTCAGCAATAAATTCGCCCTCGTCGTCAAGGTGATCTTCAAGGTCGTTGTCAAGAGAATCACACCATCACGCTTTTCGTCGTCTTCTCCACTCGCATCATCATCAACACCATTCATACAGTCATCTCCATCAGCAAAATCACATTCTTCAGCAATAAATTCGCCCTCGTCGTCAAGGTGATCTTCAAGGTCGTTGTCAAGAGAATCACACCATCACGCTTTTCGTCGTCTTCTCCACTCGCATCATCATCAACACCATTCATACAGTCATCTCCATCAGCAAAATCACATTCTTCAGCAATAAATTCGCCCTCGTCGTCAAGGTCATCTTCAAGGTCGTTGTCAAGAGAATCACACCATCACGCTTTTCGTCGTCTTCTCCACTCGCATCATCATCAACACCATTCATACAGTCATCTCCATCAGCAAAATCACATTCTTCAGCAATAAATTCGCCCTCGTCGTCAAGGTGATCTTCAAGGTCGTTGTCAAGAGAATCACACCATCACGCTTTTCGTCGTCTTCTCCACTCGCATCATCATCAACACCATTCATACAGTCATCTCCATCAGCAAAATCACATTCTTCAGCAATAAATTCGCCCTCGTCGTCAAGGTCATCTTCAAGGTCGTTGTCAAGAGAATCACACCATCACGCTTTTCGTCGTCTTCTCCACTCGCATCATCATCAACACCATTCATACAGTCATCTCCATCAGCAAAATCACATTCTTCAGCAATAAATTCGCCCTCGTCGTCAAGGTGATCTTCAAGGTCGTTGTCAAGAGAATCACACCATCACGCTTTTCGTCGTCTTCTCCACTCGCATCATCATCAACACCATTCATACAGTCATCTCCATCAGCAAAATCACATTCTTCAGCAATAAATTCGCCCTCGTCGTCAAGGTCATCTTCAAGGTCGTTGTCAAGAGAATCACACCATCACGCTTTTCGTCGTCTTCTCCACTCGCATCATCATCAACACCATTCATACAGTCATCTCCATCAGCAAAATCACATTCTTCAGCAATAAATTCGCCCTCGTCGTCAAGGTGATCTTCAAGGTCGTTGTCAAGAGAATCACACCATCACGCTTTTCGTCGTCTTCTCCACTCGCATCATCATCAACACCATTCATACAGTCATCTCCATCAGCAAAATCACATTCTTCAGCAATAAATTCGCCCTCGTCGTCAAGGTCATCTTCAAGGTCGTTGTCAAGAGAATCACACCATCACGCTTTTCGTCGTCTTCTCCACTCGCATCATCATCAACACCATTCATACAGTCATCTCCATCAGCAAAATCACATTCTTCAGCAATAAATTCGCCCTCGTCGTCAAGGTGATCTTCAAGGTCGTTGTCAAGAGAATCACACCATCACGCTTTTCGTCGTCTTCTCCACTCGCATCATCATCAACACCATTCATACAGTCATCTCCATCAGCAAAATCACATTCTTCAGCAATAAATTCGCCCTCGTCGTCAAGGTCATCTTCAAGGTCGTTGTCAAGAGAATCACACCATCACGCTTTTCGTCGTCTTCTCCACTCGCATCATCATCAACACCATTCATACAGTCATCTCCATCAGCAAAATCACATTCTTCAGCAATAAATTCGCCCTCGTCGTCAAGGTGATCTTCAAGGTCGTTGTCAAGAGAATCACACCATCACGCTTTTCGTCGTCTTCTCCACTCGCATCATCATCAACACCATTCATACAGTCATCTCCATCAGCAAAATCACATTCTTCAGCAATAAATTCGCCCTCGTCGTCAAGGTGATCTTCAAGGTCGTTGTCAAGAGAATCACACCATCACGCTTTTCGTCGTCTTCTCCACTCGCATCATCATCAACACCATTCATACAGTCATCTCCATCAGCAAAATCACATTCTTCAGCAATAAATTCGCCCTCGTCGTCAAGGTCATCTTCAAGGTCGTTGTCAAGAGAATCACACCATCACGCTTTTCGTCGTCTTCTCCACTCGCATCATCATCAACACCATTCATACAGTCATCTCCATCAGCAAAATCACATTCTTCAGCAATAAATTCGCCCTCGTCGTCAAGGTGATCTTCAAGGTCGTTGTCAAGAGAATCACACCATCACGCTTTTCGTCGTCTTCTCCACTCGCATCATCATCAACACCATTCATACAGTCATCTCCATCAGCAAAATCACATTCTTCAGCAATAAATTCGCCCTCGTCGTCAAGGTGATCTTCAAGGTCGTTGTCAAGAGAATCACACCATCACGCTTTTCGTCGTCTTCTCCACTCGCATCATCATCAACACCATTCATACAGTCATCTCCATCAGCAAAATCACATTCTTCAGCAATAAATTCGCCCTCGTCGTCAAGGTGATCTTCAAGGTCGTTGTCAAGAGAATCACACCATCACGCTTTTCGTCGTCTTCTCCACTCGCATCATCATCAACACCATTCATACAGTCATCTCCATCAGCAAAATCACATTCTTCAGCAATAAATTCGCCCTCGTCGTCAAGGTGATCTTCAAGGTCGTTGTCAAGAGAATCACACCATCACGCTTTTCGTCGTCTTCTCCACTCGCATCATCATCAACACCATTCATACAGTCATCTCCATCAGCAAAATCACATTCTTCAGCAATAAATTCGCCCTCGTCGTCAAGGTGATCTTCAAGGTCGTTGTCAAGAGAATCACACCATCACGCTTTTCGTCGTCTTCTCCACTCGCATCATCATCAACACCATTCATACAGTCATCTCCATCAGCAAAATCACATTCTTCAGCAATAAATTCGCCCTCGTCGTCAAGGTGATCTTCAAGGTCGTTGTCAAGAGAATCACACCATCACGCTTTTCGTCGTCTTCTCCACTCGCATCATCATCAACACCATTCATACAGTCATCTCCATCAGCAAAATCACATTCTTCAGCAATAAATTCGCCCTCGTCGTCAAGGTGATCTTCAAGGTCGTTGTCAAGAGAATCACACCATCACGCTTTTCGTCGTCTTCTCCACTCGCATCATCATCAACACCATTCATACAGTCATCTCCATCAGCAAAATCACCTTCTTCAGCAATAAATTCGCCCTCGTCGTCAAGGTGATCTTCAAGGTCGTTGTCAAGAGAATCACACCATCACGCTTTTCGTCGTCTTCTCCACTCGCATCATCATCAACACCATTCATACAGTCATCTCCATCAGCAAAATCACATTCTTCAGCAATAAATTCGCCCTCGTCGTCAAGGTGATCTTCAAGGTCGTTGTCAAGAGAATCACACCATCACGCTTTTCGTCGTCTTCTCCACTCGCATCATCATCAACACCATTCATACAGTCATCTCCATCAGCAAAATCACATTCTTCAGCAATAAATTCGCCCTCGTCGTCAAGGTCATCTTCAAGGTCGTTGTCAAGAGAATCACACCATCACGCTTTTCGTCGTCTTCTCCACTCGCATCATCATCAACACCATTCATACAGTCATCTCCATCAGCAAAATCACATTCTTCAGCAATAAATTCGCCCTCGTCGTCAAGGTGATCTTCAAGGTCGTTGTCAAGAGAATCACACCATCACGCTTTTCGTCGTCTTCTCCACTCGCATCATCATCAACACCATTCATACAGTCATCTCCATCAGCAAAATCACATTCTTCAGCAATAAATTCGCCCTCGTCGTCAAGGTGATCTTCAAGGTCGTTGTCAAGAGAATCACACCATCACGCTTTTCGTCGTCTTCTCCACTCGCATCATCATCAACACCATTCATACAGTCATCTCCATCAGCAAAATCACATTCTTCAGCAATAAATTCGCCCTCGTCGTCAAGGTGATCTTCAAGGTCGTTGTCAAGAGAATCACACCATCACGCTTTTCGTCGTCTTCTCCACTCGCATCATCATCAACACCATTCATACAGTCATCTCCATCAGCAAAATCACCTTCTTCAGCAATAAATTCGCCCTCGTCGTCAAGGTGATCTTCAAGGTCGTTGTCAAGAGAATCACACCATCACGCTTTTCGTCGTCTTCTCCACTCGCATCATCATCAACACCATTCATACAGTCATCTCCATCAGCAAAATCACATTCTTCAGCAATAAATTCGCCCTCGTCGTCAAGGTGATCTTCAAGGTCGTTGTCAAGAGAATCACACCATCACGCTTTTCGTCGTCTTCTCCACTCGCATCATCATCAACACCATTCATACAGTCATCTCCATCAGCAAAATCACATTCTTCAGCAATAAATTCGCCCTCGTCGTCAAGGTGATCTTCAAGGTCGTTGTCAAGAGAATCACACCATCACGCTTTTCGTCGTCTTCTCCACTCGCATCATCATCAACACCATTCATACAGTCATCTCCATCAGCAAAATCACATTCTTCAGC